AATTAACGGAGGACACCGTTTTTCTGCTTGCCATCAGCTTAGCTACAGACTATTTTCCTAGTGAACTGCTTTTAGACGCAGCATAAGCCCAGGTCTGGTGTCCTACAGCATTAGGCCAGCTCAGTAGGAGGATGCACTCTTTTGACTTGCTAACAGCACTAAACTTTGTGCAAGAAAATGTGAAGTTTGTGTGAATATTGTACATGCAAAGGCCTTGGATGGTCTGGCAAAAAAAAAAAAAAAAAATTACAAAAAATAAATAAAAACTATTCCTAGGTAGGTGGGGGGAGAGAGCAGAAGGCAAAATACGAGCAGAAAAATGTGAAAAAGATCATGAAAATATAATTTGTTGGATAGTTGTAAGTAGTTTACTAAGTGTTTTAGAGCTGTGCTAAAGACATCTTTAAGATTTTTTTGTGAAAGAAATTAGTAGTTTACTTTATAGTAAAAGCATTTTATATTAATTGTAGCACATTTTTTAGTTATACATAGAAGGGAGATGTGTATAAAAAAAACCAACAAAAAAAGCCTGCCAAACTTGTTTCTATTATTTGTACAGCAAGAAATGGACAATTTATATCCATGTTGTATGGCATTATTATTTTTTTTCGGCCATATGTCCATCTATTTAAAAATTGCTGACAATGATTTTTGTCTATTTATGAAAAATTAGAGAGCATAATTACAGTTTCTCATAAGGTGCATTTTTGGGGTTCTTTTTTTTTATTTTATTTTCTATTTTGTTTGAGGGCGCTGCTTTGGCAGCACCTGGCACATTCGGTTCACAATGCTTATCTTACCTTTCTTTATAATAAAACATATGAAAAGTAGAGCTGAAGCAGTCTCTCCTTATTCTGGGGGACACCCTGAAAGTGTCCTGGCCAGCGAGATCCCTGCCTTGTCCTCCTCAGTTATTCCATCCCTCCCTCCTCTCTCATCACATTCTCACCTGCCCCAGCTCTGTTGACTCGATTCCAGTGTTTCCTTGGATGAGAAGGACACGAAAAGGATGGAAAATTCCCATGGTGTAAGGATGGAACTGGCATTTCCAACCTTCTGTAGCAGGGATGGAAAATTCAAGTGGTGTGAAAAACAGCATGATGTGAAAGTTCACCCCCCTGGGCCGCCTGCCTGGAGGAAAACTTTTAATTAATGTACCATTTTAAGCCCATTTGTAGACACAACTTGGCTGTAGGAGTCTCATCATATGGTGTCACAGAAGGGTTTGGGTTGGAAGGGACCTTAAAGCTCATCCAGTTCCACCTCCTGTCATGGGCAGGGACACCTTCCACTAGACCAGGTTGCTCCAAGCCTCATCCAACCTGACCTGCAGCACTGCTCCAAGAATTTGAACAAAACATGGTCGTTTTGATCACCTCATGGTCTCACATGTGCTGTAAAACCTTCCTGCCAAGGAATGCCCATTGAAGTCCACCAAAACACCAAGCCCCAGCTCTTGCTGCCCCACAGGCCACTGGGCAGGGCAAGGAACACGTTGTGGGAGTTGTCCTGCTGCACCCTCTGGTTGACACCTCATCCTACACACCCTGCTGGCACGTCAGACACCCCAAATTCCACCCAGAATTGCCCACCCTGCATTGGGGCAGGGAGGAAAACCTTCTGAGATAGAGGGAGGGTTTGGGGTATGGTGGGTTTGGGCCAAGCAGCCCCCAGCAGACCACCCTGGATGCCAGGAGGGGTGGAGATAACAGCACCATGGCAAATCCCTGGAGCTTCAGGACCCCACAGAGGCTTGGAGGTATCCAGGTAGGTCACAAGCTGCTCCTGCAACCATACTGTGGAGCTGGGCAGGGTTCTGGATGAACCTTTAGGTGTGGGACTCTGCCTTGTCACTGGCCAGCATGAAGCTCCCCTTTTATCTCTGCAATCTTGAGGCATTTGAAAATAAAAATAAAATGCATAAAAAACCTTCCTAGGGAGCAGCATGAGCAATGGCATTGGCAGCCCAGCTTAGTGAGCTTGTGCTGAGGAGATAATTACCCTGCAATATCAGAGCCAGGAGATTTCTTCCAAATATGCAATTATTAAAATAAGGGGGAGAAAATAGAACATTAAGATGAAAACCTTCCTTGAGTTATCACAGTGAGGAGATAGGACTTACTCCAGGGAGAGTTTCTGGGATGTTAATATTTTGTGTGTGGCAGGTAAGTGGCCTTGAGGCTCTGAAATCACAGGGAAGAGGTTTCTAGCCCTGGGAGAAGGTCTGGAAGGAACCATCTCTGGAAGTGTTGCTTTGCTCCAGGTCCCTGTGGTTTGTCCTTTCTGGAGGAAGGTGCCATCCATGATGCCCAGCTATGTCCTGACCCTGTGCCCCAGCTGTGTCACCTTTGGGTCGCTGTGACAGTGGATTTGGAGCACCTTGGAAGCCTCCACAGAGAAAGTCTCCTCTATTTGTGGGACCACAGTGCAGGGAGCCATTGAAAGGTGACCTTGCCAGTTTAGGATTAACTGTGCAGAGCAATAGCCACATTTTTAACAACTTTCTGGCCATCCACCCACATTTCTGCAAGGCTGCTCTGCTCCCTCTGCTTCTCTGCAAAGGGCTGGTGGCCAGCAAGGAGCAAGGACCCACTTTCATCCTTGGTGATGTGGGAGCCACCTGAGGAATGAAGGGCAGTTGGCTCTTAGAGAGCCTGAAGCTTTAGTAAGAAATTGTGAGGCATTCCAGACCACTTCAATCACTCCTAATCTCTAAATTTGCATGATGGCAGCTGTGCTTAAATGGCATTCCAGCTGTTAGCTAATTGTCATGGACCTGGAGTTGCTCCAGGGAAGCAACTGGGAGCTGAGCCTCCCATCCACCATCACAGCTGGCTCACAAAATCATAGAATCCCAGAATGGTTTAGGTTGGAAGGGACCTTAAAGATCATCCAGTTTCAACCCCCTGTCACGGGCAGGGACACCTTCCACTAGCCCAGGTTGCTCCAAGCCCCATCCAACCTGGCCTTGGACACTTCCAGGGATGGGGCAGCCACAGCTTCTCTGGGCAACCTGTGCCAGGGCCTCCCCACCCTCACAGGGAAGGATTTCTTCCTAACATATAGTCTAAATTTCTGCTCTTTCAGTTTGAAGCCAGTCCCCCTTGTCCTGTCACTATCTGGCATTGTAATTAGTTGTTCTTCATCGTTTTTACAGGCCCCCTTCAAGTAATGAAGGGGTTCATCCAGTCTCCATCAATGGGTTCAGCCCCCCAAGGGTCAGCACCAGAGCCCTGGGCTGGGCACCAATGACATGACTGGGGGAGCCTCCCCTTGCCCTGAACCTTGGTCTATAATTAACATTAATAGAAAATGCAGTAGCCGGGTCTCAAGAAGCCTCAGGGCAGGGTCATCTCTTCCTGAACCCTGCCTGTGTGCCTAAAGTCCCTTTAAAAACCTTTAAATTCCAGGCAGATAACCTAAATCTCTCTCCCTACAAAGCAAATCCCTCGCTTTTGAACATAGGGAAGAATTTATTGCTTTCCTTGTTGCGGTAATTTTTTCCATATTTGAAGAAGGATGTTGGCTCCCCCCCCACCTCCTCTCCACCTGCCCCAGCTGTTGCAATGGCAGAGGTCGTGTTCTGGAGCAGGATGAGCTGTGCAGCTTCCAATTTTAGTCAAAGAGCACCAGTTAGATCCTCAAAAGCCCTTGGAACAACTTTGGGGCCGGGGACTCACAGGGCAGGGGAAGGGGCAGGACCAAGGCAGGCATTCCCAGGGATCAGGCTAATGATGGAGAGGGATGTTAAGAGGCAGGAGCAGGGAGAGACCTGGCTAATTGACTTTGGTTTATGAAGACATAATTAGCAGCGCTGCAGGATGTAATGGGGAGTTTAACAAACCTCATCAGCGGGATCCCGGTGGTGTTTAACCCTTGGAGCGCAGCCCCAGGCAGGTGGGATGGGTGACTCCAGACAGCCATGCCTGGCTCCCACAGAAAGAGGGATACCACCAGCATCCCACCACCCCACCAGGACACAGCCTCCTGCATAGCCAGGGTGTGGAAAGGGCCCGCTCCTGACTTGTGGTTTCTCCTCAGGCACCACCCTGAGCTGTGCCCACGGCCTCGGCAGCGCTGGGAGGAAGCTTTGTCTTTGTTACATCTGTGTTATTATTATCAGGATGATGGAATGGAAGGGAAAACAGCCCTGACAAGCAATATTGAGGGGTTTACGCAAGAGGGATCAAAGGAAAGGACTTCATTTGATAAATCCTGGGTCCCTGACAGCTGCAGCACGTGCGAGGAACAGCAGCCTTGTGCCAGCCCCGGCGAGGTCCTGGTCCCTACCGAGGGCAATTTGCACCTTGGCAAGTGTCCACGTTCCCAAAGGTCCTGTAGGGGTTGGGAATGCTGTGGTGAGAGCAGCAGTCCTCACTGTGCTCCTGCTGGGAGCAGAGTGGTCAGACATGGAACGACTCCGTGGTGGTGGAAATGTGCTGCAGCACTGGGCCCCAGCTCTTGGCACAGCCCCCACACACAGGGGACAGCAGGACCCCCAGTGCTGTGCAACCAGGCAAAGAGGTTGGATGTTGGACCCAGCACTGGCTGTGCAGCACCTACAGCTCATCACCCAGATGTGCCTGTGCTTCACCAGAGTTGTGGCTACCATCACACACTCCCACCTGTGCCATGACCCAGCCCATGGATGCAGGCATGGGATCACAGAATCATAGAATGGTTTGGCTTGGAAGGGACCTTAAATTTCACCTCATTCCAGCCTCCTGA